GACGGGAGGCGGGCCATGCTTCTCTACCAGGACGAGAGCATATTTCGAGGTTAGTTTTAAACGGAGCAAAGCGGGTTCGATAATTTAGGTGTAAATTCCGGGCGCGAACAGTAATCTTGCTCGCAATTCAATTGTGGGACTATAGTTTAATCACACATGTTGACAGCGCCACATCTACCGCCCCTAAATTGTCGGTTTCTTGTTTGTATTTGAAGCCAACGACGACCAGAGGCGCGCGTGGTATCGGGACGGCCAGCATGTGCCCGTGAAGAAGTCACAAGGCCAGGGGATCATGGTGTCGGGGACGATAATCCACAACGTTGGCTTCTTCTCGGCGTCGCGGGCACAGATCCAGGACGCGGAGCGCAACCGCAGGAAACGATGCGCCGCCTCAGCTGCCGCGAAGCGACGGGGGGAAAACGTGAAGGTGGAGAAGTTCCGCCCCATCGACATGCTTCATGAAGACGAGCATGGACAGTACTGGTCCTACCACCTCTTCGAGTACGGCAAGAACAAGGAGGGATACTGGGCCGGGCTCAGGATGCTGGACCACGTGTCAGACGTGCTCGACATCTTCACAGTTCTCTACCCTGAGCACAAGCCTGTAGGCCTGTTCGACTGGTCGTCCTGTCATGACTGCATGGAGGTCGGCGCACCGTCGGTGAAGAGAATGAACTTGGGTGTCGGTGGTGTGAGGAACGGAGAAGAGCTTGCGCCGATGGACCCCGTGACCATCCTCGAAGATACCCCGAACCTCCCAGCCGGCACGGTACAGCACTTGGTGTTTCNGTTCGACTGGTCGTCCTGTCATGACTGCATGGAGGTCGGCGCACCGTCGGTGAAGAGAATGAACTTGGGTGTCGGTGGTGTGAGGAACGGAGAAGAGCTTGCGCCGATGGACCCCATGACCATTCCCGAAGATACCCCGAACCTCCCAGCCGGCACGGTACAGCACTTGGTGTTTCGGAGGGGGGACGATCCCCCCTTCCACTCCCCGCATCTCAAGCCGGCGCAATATGTCGGAAAGTTGAAAGAAATGCGGCAGATTGTGTGGGAGAGGGGGCTCCTGGTCAAAGGCATGAGTAAGACGGGGGGCTCGGGCGAAAAGCAGGACCTCNCAGAGAAGGATAGACAGGCTGTTTCGGTAGTCCAGGGCTACTGCAAGAAGGCGTACACACACGCCCTCATGTACCGCGAGAAGCGTGTGCAAGGGCCTGAGGGCAAGAAGACGTACAAGAAGTACAAGTCGCACAGGCGCCCGACCCCGAAGGAATGGAGGCCGTAGAGTCGATGGCGCATTCTTGTTCATTGAGCTGTATTTGTTCAGTTTTTTTCCGTGTTTCTGGTGGGAATGTTGTACAAAAATGGAACATTTTTGTTGAAAACGGCCAATTTTTGTGATATATGTACGCTATAGGTGCGGTTGATGCATTTGCATAGTGTTTGAGGGCGTTCCTGTGCACGTGTGGGGGGTTTGGTGCGAAAAAAAAAAAAGGATTAGCAACATATATGGTGGAAAAGTTGCACTAGGGCCAATTTCGTGGGTTCGAGACCCGCCGCGAGCATCTATTTTTCTAATTTTTTCTCTTTTCTTCCTTTTTTTTTAGCGACTCGCTACTCTTTTGCGCCTTGCCGCGGGCGTTCCGAAGCTGTTTTTCTTTTTCTTTTACTCGCTCTCAGTCAAAAGTTATGGAGGGACAACAAAAATCGGGTCCTTGAAAATTACCACTTTAAATAAATAAATCCTGGTCTATCTAGGATGAAGAAAGCGACGCGCTGCAAAGCTCGTTTAACAGCATATATTGGTGAAATTGATAGCGAAGCATCTGATTGAGAGCGAGATTGCGTGATGCGCTGCAGCTGGGCTACTGCTGAGAGGTGGAGCTTGCTGTGTAGCTTGAATTGAAGGGCCAGCCCGTAGCTACAAGCAGATACGCTGGTCATCCTGTGGGAGTCTCTCGATGTGAAGTTACAGCGGCGAGCAGAAGCTACAGCAGAGCCTACCGCCCGAGGCCACACCGCCCTGCAACAGTCTGAGGCAGGAATAGTCAATCTGGGGAACTCTAGCAACTTATCTAGCTCCTAGCTGCAGCATCCGATGACGATGACACGCATATGCTCGTGACGCTGCTGATGAGACCTTCAATTTGCGCCGCTTCTTGGAAGCCCCCTACTTCCCAAGAAATGGCAAGAGGCGCCTGGACCCGAATTTTAATTTTTTTGGCTCTCGCTCTCAATTTCATGCTTCGCTCTCAATTTCACCAATATGTTGTTGTTTGTTAGTAAACCATCATAATCGACTTCGTAAGTCGCGAGGGAAGGGATTGCTGTACCCTTCTCGCGATAAAAATCCCTCAGTCAGGCAGGAACCCCAGGAGGGGGTCCAGCCCCCCCCTCCTCTATGTGACCCCAGTTGGGTCGTCTAGCTGGTAGAAGTGGAGGATAGGGGCCAGAGGGGGGGCAGACGACAGAGTCCAATGATGGGAGAAAAAAAAAAATGTCAAAAGGTGCGCATTCGCAGCAGAAAGGCGACCACAAGAGGTGCTGTTTGAAACCTACGACACAACAAGGTGATTTGAAGGTCGCAACCACTCGCTGCTGCTCTTATTGTGTGCTGCTGCAATACATACTTACTTGCATACCATCGTTTGAATTTCCCCGTACCACCAAAACGCTGATGAAAGCGATGATGGTGTTCTACGACCTACGCATTGTACATGTAATAATGTACACGACGACGGGTGGTAGTATACAGTAGTAGTAGTCTAGTGCGCTGGTGTTGATATGGGCTTGATTATTTGCTTTATTTTATTTTGTAGGCGCTGTCCTCCCCGTGAACATCTTGCCCAAGATCTCGCTACCGCACGCACCTGAGAAATAAATATCGAAGGTTGGTTGTGAACGACACTACAAGGGAAATGTAGGTTACGCAGAAGAAACACAACAACAACAAAGAGACCAAAAATGTCGGGAAAGCACAGCGACAAAGAAAGAGGACACCGCGCCTTCCAAAATAAAAAGGTCAAAACGAGGCACAACACAACACAAACGCCAAATTCAACCTCACGAGACTTCACCCAACTTGAAGGCAAACAACGAACGTTGGCAATACAAAAAGTGCTTTGCTCTCGAAACCAAAAACTACACCCGCCACATATTATCCCAAAGAGTCGCCTGTGCAGCACCTCCCCCCCCTCCTTTCTTTGTTCTTGAGACTTCGCTTGATGATGACCTGAGTTTCGTGAGTAAACGAATGAATGAATGCACAGACAGATTTGAACTGGCACGTCGGTTCGCCGCATGGCTTCAAGCCGGCAGCAGCAGACGAACCGCTAGCAGATGGAATGAATCTTTCCATACACCCACACGCAGTGTGCGGCTGCAGCAGACCGCTGTTTGTTGTTGATGATCCAGGATCTACATACAGGTAGGTCTATGTTGTTGTTGTTGTTGACTTCACATTAAACCGTATGCCAGTTGCT